CAGACAGACAGAGAGAGACAGGGAGACCGAAAGCAAGAAATCAACCCCTCAGCGGGGATGGTCACGCCGCAATCCTTTCTCCTCCATTCTCCTCTCGGGATCTTGGGCATGCACGCACAGGCGCCTGGCATGAGTTTAAGCCACCAGGTCCAGGACTCGAACCACGGTCAATTACATGGGAGTCCAGCAACATAGCCATTACGCTAACTGCTGGTCCCTGATTGTAATTTTTTCTTGTTAATCTGTTACCATAGTATGTTGGTGGCACTAGGCTTTCTTTCTTTCTTTTTTTGTCATAGGGTGTGTGCACTCGCCAGAGAGAGAGAGAAAGTGAGAAGTCACACCCTTAGGGGGAGGAGGATGACCACACTGCAATTCCTTCTCCTTCATTATCTTCTCCGGATTCTGGGCAGCCCCCCAACAAGCCCTGTGTGATTTTCAAGCAGCCAGGTACAGACTCGAACCACACAACCAGCCCTGTGTGGTTTAACCACCTTAACCACCACGCCACCTGCTGGCCCAGTAATAGGTTTTCTGAGATAGAATCCTTTCTTGCATTCCTAAAATGAGCTTAACTGATCATAATACATCATATACTGCTGAGTCTGATTTGCTCTTTAAGATTCTCTTTTAAAAAAACTAAATTGGGGACCAGCAGTTAGCATAATGGCTATGTTGCTGGATTCCCATGTAGTCGACCGCGATTCATGTCCCAGACCCAGTGGCTTAAAACTCACGCCGGGCACGTGTGCCTGCGTGCCCAAGATCCCGGGAGGAGAATGGAGGAGAAGGGATTGCGGCGTGGCCATCCCCCCTGGGGGGTGATTTCTCGCTTCCTGTTTCTCTGTCTCTCTCTGTCTGTCTGGCGAGTGCATGCACCCTATAGTAAAAGCCTCTCCAAAAAAAAAAAAAAAAAAAGGGAAAAAAACCCAACAAATTGTCTGAGGTTACATGTGCTTGCCAAAGAGACAGAGAGAGGAAAAGAGAAAAAATGTAAAGCACCCCTGCAGCAGGATGGGTATGCTCAAGTCTCTTCTCAATTTCTTACTCTTTTCAGGATTTCAGGTATGCATGCACACTTCCCCTACCCACATCTGTTTTTTTTCCCCCGCCCCATACGGTGTATGTGCTCACCAGAGAGAGAGACAGAGACAGTGAGAGGGAAAACGAGAAATCACTCCCCAGTGGAGATGGCCATGCTGCAATCCCTTCTCCTCCTCGTCTCCTCCTGGCACCTTGGGGACACATGTGCACACATACACCCAGCATGATTTTCAAGGTGCTACAATTGACCACAATCAACCATGTGGGAGTCCAGTGCCCCAACCACCACATCACCTGCTGGCCCCCTCCTCTCATTTTGTGAGTCTTTGGGTCTGGAACTCAAACTACTCTGTTGGCCATGTGGATTCCAGAAACCTTAACTACCACACCACCTGCTGGAACCTTTTAAATGAATTTGTTGTTGTTGTTGTTTAAGGTCATAGGGCATGTGCATTCGCCAGAGGGAGCAAAAGAAAATTCCCCATGGGAGATGGCCACGCTGCAATCCCTTTCCTCCATTCTCCTCTCAGGACTTTGGGCATGCATGCACACACGCCCGATGTGACTTTCAAGTCACAGGGACCAGGACTGGAACCATGCCCTCAACCATGTGGAATCCAGCTCCTTAACCACCATACCATCTGCTGGTCTCCAGCTAGACTGCTTTTGTCTTTGTTTTTGTTTTTCAGTTCACTACAGGGCATGAGTGCTCGCTGGTGTGTGTGTGTGAGAGAGAGAACGACAGAGAGAGAGAGAAGGAAAGAACCATCCCAGGGGATGGTTATGCTTCAATGCCTTCTCCATTCTTAGGGGATTCTTGGCATACACACTCAGCCAGTGTCTTTGTCAAGTCCCAGGATTTAAACTGTGCAATTGGCCATATGGGATTTAACTGCCTTAGCCACCATGCTGTGGCTGGCATTCTTTTCTTTTTAATTGCTGGAGGGCACATGCACTCACCAGAGGGAGAGGGGGAAAAAAACCCCACAAAAATTTCTAATGCGGCACGGTCATGCTGCAATCCCCCTTCCTCCACTTCTCCATCCCATCAGGATTTTGGGCATGCACACATACACGTCCGGTGTGTTCAAGCTGCTAGCACTAATATTTGAACTGCAATTGCCCATGTGGAATCTGGTCCCTATGCACAGTGCTTAACAGTGTGCAACCATTAACCAGCCTTTTACCCATTACATTTCTGCTTTTCCTATTCTATCCCCTTAGATTTTTGTTAGGCTCTGGGAGTCTCACAGAGTAAAAAGGAAAGGTTCCTGGTCGATGGTGCACATGTAGTAAGCTTGTGTAGTCGAGGAACAGTGGTTTTGGGGAGTACACATCTTTTATACAAAGCTTGCTCTTTGTTCCCAAACTTCATCCTTCAAAAACGACACCCTTCAATGGCCCAGGAAAAGTAGTCAGAGCCTTTCATTCTTCTTTAAAAACATTTTTTAAAAATTATTATTATTTTAATTTGATCTGAGAGAGGAGGGGAAAAGTGAGAAAGCAAGCCATCAGGTCTGGGAATTGAACCATGGTTGGCCATGTGGAAGTCCAGCACCTTAACCACCATGCCACCGGCCAGCCCCAGGGCCTTACATTCTTGCCATATCAACAAGAACCTGCAGGGACTGGTAGGGTGCAAGACAAGTGCCTTTCTTATATGGTTTTGGTATCAAGATTCTATTAACTTCAATTAATTTTTATAAGTTATTTAATTTAATTTAATTTAATTTAATTTAATTTAATTTGACCAGAGAGAGACAGAGCTAGAAAGAGAGAGAGAAAGTGAGAAAGCAAGCCACCAGTCCAGGACTCGAATCATGGTTGGCCATGTGGAAATCTAGCATCTTCAAAGACCATGCCACCTGCCAGCCTCTTTATTAACCTCAATTCATATGATGAGCCTTCTTTTTTTCATTTTAGAAACTATTTGGATAAACTAGAGATTTATGTGTTGTTTGGTAAGGCTCACAGTAAACTAGGTCTTGTGTCTTTTTTGGGGAGAAAGGGAAGATGTTTGATGTGGTGATCTGGAGTCACTGGTTTTCTTTTTTCCCCATTTTAGAGAGTATTTTATTTTCCCAGAAAATTCACCTATGTGTTTTCAAATATGAGTGTTGCTTTTATGGTTGATTGAAACAATTTATGTCTCCTTTTTCAAGATATTTTCTCTCCTTCCTTTGTTATAGGATTTATGTACTCATGGGAGAGGGCAAGTGACAAAGCACCCCCAGGGGGATGGCCCACAGCAATCACTATTCCATTTCTCCTTTTGGGATTTTGGGTACCCATGCACGGGCATGTCGTTTTTCAAGCTGCCGGGTCCCAGACTTCACACATCATCCGTCATGTGTGTTCTAGTCATATTATCCACCATGCCACAGTGGGCCCTCTTTTTCTTTTTAATTGGTGGAGGGCATGTGTGCTCACCAGAGAGAGGAAAGAGAAAGCACCCCCCAAGCAGGGCATGGTGACATCACAATAATTTTTGCTCCATTTTTCCATCCTGTTACTGGGTCTGGGACTTGTGCGGAGCTGGTCACAGGGGATCCAGCTGGCCCTGGGATATTTTCATTTGTACTTTTTCCATCAGTCTGACAGTTTTCCTACCAAAAGAAGCTTTCAGTCTTCCTATGGCTCCTGTTTTCCTCTCATCTCCATTCTTCCACATGGAGCCATGGAACTATTTAAACCTTGTACTGAGAAGGTTCAGATAAAGAACTATGGTATCTATTCATAGTTCCTGCCTTCAGAATCTTTGTGAAAGAAGGCTTAAGTCTGTGTTCCCCAAACCCCGAAACAGTTTCAGCTATTAGGATAACTTCCTCGCTTCGTACTGATCTAGCGGTAGTACTGGGATAGATTTGTGGGTTTCTGAAATGGACAATCACTTTGGCCAAGGGATACCTTGTCTTCTCCTTGCAAGCACCCAAAATAATTCTAATATTACTTATAGCCTTCCACTTGGTTTGGAGAATAGAAATGTCAGTTTCATGGTCTTTCAATAGGGTTTAGGTGGGTGGTGGGATACTGTCCACTTGTTGCTGACTTTCTTTAGAATGAAGAGTAATTAGGCCAGCTGGTGGCATGGTGGTTAAGGAGGCTGGACCCAACACGGCTGACTTTGTGGTTCGAGTCCTGGACCTGGTGGCTTGAAAAACATGCTGGGCACATGTGCCCAAAATCCTGAGAGATGTGGCCACACCACAATCCTCCTGAGGGATGATTTCTCACTTTCCCTCTATCTATCTTTCTGGTAAGCATATGTGCCCTATAGCAAAAGCTTAATAAAAAATAATATAGAGTATTAATTGCTTCTCTAGGTTTAGGCCCTAGTTGTTTAAAAAGAAAATTAAAAAGTTGGACACAGCTAGAAACAAACTGGATTTTTAAAAAGCATTCCATGATAAAAATTTTTAAAATGCAATAAGGCCACCTAATACATTGACTACTATACTATAATTTGGATTATCCTTTAAAAAATCAAACAGTTCCATTTCATACAAAGAAAAATAGAATGGTAGTTGGCAAGAGTTCGGGAGGAATGGGGAGTTGTTTGATTGGTTTCAGTTTTCCCATGAACATATTCTGGAAGGGGCCAGTTCCATGACCTGATAGTTGAGGGAGCCAGATCCTACATAGCTGAGTGCCCAGTTCAAAGCCTAGTCCTGGTAGTTTGGAAAACAGGCCAGGCATGTGTGTGTGTGCCCCAAATTCCACTATGATGGAGAAACGGAGAAGAGATTGTAGAGTGACCGGGCCCCATAGGGGGGTTGGTTTCTTCTCCTACCCAGTCTCTCTCTCTCATGAGTGACCATGCAGGCTTAAAAAAAAAAGAGAGAGAGATGTTCCACAACAATGTGAATATACTTAAAACTACATTAACTGTACACCTAAAACAGTTAAGATGGTTTAAAAAAAAAAAAAAAAAAAAAGAATGAGAATCAGCCATGACATTCAACTGGTATGAGGAATTTATTTTGTAAAAAAGCAACAACAGAGAATGGCACAAGGGCCCTAGAATGTCTACAATACTACGTATAAAATGACAATGGCGCACTATGACAACATTGAAGCACTGAAAGATACCAAAGTTCCTTTTCTGAATCCAAAAAGGCACATTAAACCCAGCATGGTTTTAATGTCCTTACGTTTATCAAAGTCTTGATATTCTGACATTTGGTAAGTCAGATAACCAGAATATCGAATCCTAACGTTTGGTGATATATAACTTGGTGATAACCAAGTCTGATGATACATAAACGGAGCACACTCATCTGATGTATCTCCACACAAACATGTACAGATTCCCGTCTCTTGATCAAGTGACAGACTGCTTAAATTCGTTAAATACATTTAGACTTCTCTATTATACAAAGTTAAATGTACAGCTAACTTAGTATATGAAAAGTGCTCATTGTGTTTTTAACAGGAACATGAATAGTCTGACAAAAACATTTATGCACTCTATACTAATTTTGCCTTTTTTTACTTAAGTCTAAATTTCTTTCCCTCTAGTTCACAACCAATTTTGTGATTTTTATAAGAAATCTACACTTCCTTAATTCTGATTCTTCTCTTTTGCTCCTTATTTCTCAATTTACAGTCAGTACGAGCTTTACTAGAATCTTAGGCTTCATGCACACTCTTACTCAATTCCAGCAGTTTTTCAGAGCCCTATAGTCCGGCATGGGAATTACTGCATTAAATTAGTTCTAGAAAAAGCACTACAGGCATTTTTCCTGAAATATACAGAACACGTCATGCCAAATCTCTTGTTTATACAATAAACTGGTAATATTGGTCAATTGCACATATAGCTTATATTTTCAAAATAGAATAACTTAAAAATATTAAAACGTACCTTTATGTTACCACCGTAATTGACTTTATACGCATAACGGCAATATTTAATACAAAAATCACAAAATCCACTAACTTTAAATGCTGCATCTCAGCATACAAACTCATCTCCTTGTGACCTAATCAAACTATAGACAGCACATTTTTTAAAGCTACTCTGGTATTTATGCCCTAATTAGAAGTTTATACGAAACACAATTTTATGTTCAAATATGGAAATAAGTAACATAATTCCAAAACCCAAAAGTATGCCAGCATTTTGTAAAAAGAAATATCCCCAGCGACTGCATCCATGGTCACTAGCATCATTGTGCAGCATCTCAGGTACCTTAAAAAAAAAAAAGTAACATTTAACTTTTCAGGTTATAGAGAATTTGCAGAAGAGTATACTAGCTTTATCTGTATCTAAATACATTATGTTCCTTAAAACACGACCGCATACATACTGACTCTAGCTAATAATCTCATACTGTATTTCCCAGTACTGTAATGAACAATAAAATTGTTCACAATGTGCTGAGAAAGCTAAAATTTACATTGGGCCCATTTTTTCTGTTATAAAACAAAGAGCTATATTGATTTCTCTGCTTCTGTTAACTGCGTATCTGAACTGAATATAACATGTAGCTTAACTTGAGAGGTAGGGAACTTTATAATATAGAAAATAGAACTTTAATAATATGACTGGCAGGGATTGTCATTCGAACTTTGGTGACCAATAAGATCTGTCAATGAATAAGGAAACATCAGGTATTCTAAAGTACACGCAGCATGCTAACAGTATGTAGCTTGTGCTAGAGACCCTACAATCTATAGACAATTCTTTGCCTGCATACTAAGATTCAAAAGCGATACATCAAAAGGGAGTAGATAATTTTGTGTATTCTTATATACATTAGGCAGAATAAAGTTGTGCTTATGATCAACATTAAACACACACAAAAAAACTCTCAAAGACCTGTGTTTCTTTTGGTTTTAGTTTTGTCATAGGGTGCATACACTCACCAGAGAGTGAGAGAGAGGAAAAGTAAGAAATCATCCCCCAGAAGAGATGGCTATATCACAATTCTTTCTCCTCCACTCTCCTCTCAGGATTTTGGGCATGCATGCACATGTGCCCTGTGTGATTTTTAAGCCACTGGGTGTGGTTCTCAAACTGCACGTGGTCAGCTATGTGGAGGCCAGCACCTTATGCAATATGCTGCCTGCTAGCCCTTATCAAAAATCTTTTTTTAAAAATAAGGTTTTACCCTCGCATCAGGCAAGTGTGTGTGTACATGGCCAAGATTCCGAGAGGGGAATGGAGGAGAAGGGATTGCAGTGTGGCCATTCCCACAGAAGGATGATTTCTGATTTCTCACTTTCTGTCTCTCTTTCTGGTGAGCACATGTGGCCTAGAGAAAAAAAAATCTCTAAAAAAATAAATTAATTAAAAAAAAAAGGCTTTATAATACATTTTCTTTATTTTATTGTAATTCGATAAAGATATATATCTTTTTTTTTGGGTGGGGGGGTTAGGTTTTTGCCATAGGGGTATGTGTGCTGACCAAAGAGGAGAAAGACATAGAGATAGTGAGAGGGAAAGTAAAAAATCACCCTTGTAGGGGATGGCCACACTGCAATCCCTTGTCCTCTAATCTCTTAGGATTTTGGAATGATTTCAAGCTGCCAAGTCTGACACTCGAAACATGGTCATTCATGTGGGAGTCTAGTGACCTAACCACCATGCCACCTGCTGGCCTCAGTCAATAATGTAATTTGACTTCTTAAAACCTATCATATTGGGTCTAGCAGGTGGTATAGTATTTAGGTCACTGGACTCCCACATGGCTGACCACGGTTCAAGTCTCGCACCTGGCAGGCAGCCTGCATTCTCACTCTCCCTCTCTCTCTCTTTGGTCAAACTGAATGATAATAATAATAAATTAAAATTAAATGAAATAACTTTTTTATAAAAAATATTTTTTTATAACTTATTCATTCATTTATTTTCATTTGATCAGAGAAAGATACATGGAGAGAAGGAAATTGAGAAAACAAGCCACCAGGTCCAGGACTCGAACAGTGGTCAAACATGTGGGAGTGTCTAGTGCCTTAACCACCATGCCATGTGCTGGCCCCAAATTAAATAACTCTTAAAAGAAAGAAAGAAAGAGAGAAAGACAAACAGAAAGAAAGAAAGAGAGAAAGAAAGAAAGAAAGAAAGAAAGGTACAAGAAATAAGAAATGGAAAATTACTTGTTGACGATAACATGTATGGTAATATCCTGGATTAACTCAATGTACTGTATATCCAGGATGAGAAATCACATTTTGCATGCTGTGATGACATACAGTGAATGAATGTAAAATAAATAAATTTAAAAGAAAAAAATAGGGGCTGGCAGGTGGTGTGGGAGTTCAAGGGCGTGGATTCTCACATGGTCAACTGTGGTTCAAGTCCCAGACCTGGTGGCTTGCTTTCTCGGTTTCCCTTTGTCTCTCTCTCTGTCTCTGTCTGGTCAAATTAAAAATAAAACATGCAAATAAATAAATAAATAATTCTTAAAACAATAAAAACTTACCATATCCACCAAAGCAACATACATGAATAAGCCAGCAGTAAGTGCAAATATCCACATAGAAACATTTTCAGCATAATGACCGATGAAAATTCCTGTTGCCATTCCAAGATATGCTAGCATAGCTGACAAAGCATTATAAAGAACAGCCTGTTTAACAGTCATGCCAGCCTTTAGTAGAACAGCAAAGTCACCTTTAATAGAAAAAAAAATAAAAAGAGAGTAAAATAACCGAAAATCACTTTTTGGGTTACAATTATTTTATTTAACTTCATTAATTTATTTATTTATCCCAATTTGCCAGAGAGGGTCAGAGCGAGAGAAAGCCACCAGGTCTGGGACTCGAACCACAGTTGCCCATGTGGTAGCCCAGTGCCTTAACTACCACGTCATCTGCTGGCCCCTGAAAATTACTTCTGAGACACATACATACCCAGGTGACTTTCCAGACTTAAGAAAATTTCTAATTTTTTTTGAGTGGAGGGAATCAAAGAATTACCCAAGGAAGGGGTCAGCAGGTGGCATAGTGGTTAAGGGTGCTGGACTCCCAAATGGCCGACTGCGGTTCAAGTCCTGGACCTGGCGGTTTGTCTTCTCTCTCTCTCTCCCCTCTCTCTCTCTCTCACTCTGTCCCTCTCTGGGCAAAGTAAAGATAAATAAATAAATAAATAGTTAAATAGAAAGATACACAAAGATGGAAATAGTAAAGAGAGGCTTTGGGGGACATGAAGGACTTATCCTGTGGGCCACAAACGAGCTGTTGAGGATCACAAGCACTGAGCAGGCAGGTGGGAGTCCTACTGAATAGCTGGGCACTTGGCAAGGAACCAAAGTGAAAATGGCATAGGGGTGTGTGTAAATGAGCATGTGTCTATAAGAAGAATACAAAGGGCATGAATCAGGATCTAGAAAAAGTAAGGAAGGTTTTAGGACCAGCAGATGACTTAATGGTTATGTCACTGGACTCCCATATATGTAGTTGACCGTGGTTTGAGCCCTGGACTTGGTGACTTAACACTCATGCAGGGGAGCAGTCCAGTTGACTTTTAAATGTAAGAATGGAGTCCAGTTGACTTTTAAATGTAAGAAGAGAATTTCAAACACTTAACACATTCAGCTCTATGACAGAAAGTAAATCTATGGATATGGTATTTTGTGAATGATCTTTTAAATAAAAGAAAATCTTACATAATAATTTTTTAAAAAACAAAACAAACAAAAAAAACCTCATGCAGGGTGCATGTGTGTGCGTGCCTAAAATTCCCAGAGGAGAACGGAGAAGTGATTGTGGCATGGCCATCCCTCCTGGGAGGTGATTTCTTGCTTTCCGTCTCTCTAGCATGCAAATCTCTGCTTAAAAAAACAAACAAACAAACAAAAACAAAAACAAAAAAAAAAACAAAACTAGGGAAGGTTTTAAGCCCTATGACAAACAACAATATTCAAAACAGAACTCAACTTCCCTTTTCTTTAGCTATACTGAGATTCTCCTTCCCAGTTTCTATTAATGAAAGATGGTGCCTCTGCATCTTTTCATCTTATTCACAGTGTGTATATGATGATGATCACTGATGTCACCAGTATGCTGGTACAGAAAGATACCTGGCAGGGAAAGATGACAAAGAGGACCCAGGTACCTTTCTGGCAATTCCACGAAGGCAATTAAACATACTCATACTTGTGGGGTCAGAATTCTGGCCGAAAATAAACTTGTGCTCAGAAAGCAAGCAAGCAAGCCAGGGCTTAGCCATGGCGACGGACGTTGTGAGGATGCTGCAGCCATGGGAGGCCCTGGTCTGGTTCCTGGACAAACAGGCCACATATGCTGACACATGCCTGTAGTCCTAGGTACTCTAGAAGGCTGGGGCAGGAGGAGCTAGACATGGTGAGCTCCTGTGAAAAATCTCTCTCATAGGGACCAGCAGTTAGTGTAATGGCTGTGTTGCTGGACTCCCACGTAGTCGACCGCGGTTCACGTCCTGGACTCGGTGGCTTAAAACTCACGCCAGGCGCATGTGCGTGCGTGCCCAAGATCCCTAGAGGAGAATGGAGGAGAAGGGATTGTGGCGTGGCCATCCCCCCTGGGGGGTGATTTCTCGCTTTCTGTCTCTCTGTCTGTCTCTGTCTTTCTGGCTAGCGCACACGCCCTATAGCAAAAAACCTCTTCAAAGAAAAAAAACCTCTCTCATAAATAAGTGAGTGAACTATTTTAAAAAATAATTAATTCATTATTATTATTATTATCAAATTTACAAGGTACATATAGAGAAACAGAGAGAGAGAGGGAGAGAAACAGAGAGAAAGTGAGAAATCAAGCCACCAGGTCTGAGACTTGAACTGCAGTTGGTCATGTGGCCAACCCAAGCCATCATGCCACCTGCTGGCCCCTAAATGAATGAACGTTAAAAATTATGTATGGATTTATAAATATAAATATAAATATAAATAAAAGAAAGTAAAGAAAAGAAAGTCAGCTAGGTTAAGCAGACTCACAAGAAGGCATGAAGGCATGACAATTACGAAGAAGCTTGCTGGAATGATCATTAGCAAAGTCAGAGACATGAGGATATTTTACCATGTGGTATGTACAATCTACTTGGTTCTCTTACCTAATTCATGAGGCAACTCATGACAAAACACAGCAACAGATGTACTTAATCCACTTGACAAACCTTCAGTAAAAGCAGCACCTGTATAAAAATCAGTCAGAAAATGTCTGGCTATGTTATTTTATGTTTTTAAATCTTAGCATACAAAATGAAGTTAAAAAAAAGAGACCATATTTTGGCAGTACATAACAGAACTTTCCCAACTCAACTCTGTTCTCTACCAAAAAAAACAAAAACAAAAAATCTCAGCCCACCAGGTGGTGTGGCAGTTAAGGCAGGAGGATCCTACAAGGCCGACTGTGTGGTTTGAATCCTGAACACAGAGGCTTGAAAAACACATGTCCTGAGAGGGGAATGGAGAAAGGATTGCGGTCATCCCTGGTTGGGGGTGAGTCCTCGCTTTCCCTCCTTTACTCTTTTTCTCTGGTGAGCCCATGCACCCTATAACAAGAACTGAAGAAAAAAAAAAATCTCAGATGACCTTCCATAAGGTATAAAATTTCTTTTCTTTTTTTTTAAAAGAGTGTTGTCTTTTATTATATTTTGTTTTGAGAGGTTTTTGCTATAAGGCGCGTTTGCTTGCCAGACAGAGAGAGACAGAGAGACAGAAAGTGAGAAATCACCCCTCAGAGGAGATGGCCACGCCGCAATCCCTTCTCCTCCATTCTCCTCTCGGGATCTTGGGCACGCATGCACACACGCCCGGCGTGAGTTCTAAGCCACCTGGTCCAGGACGCGAACCGCGGTTGACTACGTGGGAGTCCAGCGACATAGCCATTACGCTAACTGCTGGCCCCACCATAAGGTATAAAATTTCTAAAGGAGCACAATAAGGTTTGATAGAGAAGGGAAGGTTCAACTATGCCTTAGAATAACTAGATGATCTTGTAGAATCCGAGAAATAACTGCCTCCAAATAGAACACTTATTCAAGAATACAGAATAAACTGATGTGAGAGTTTTTAGAAAAAACCTCTACAGTCAAAAGTAAATAAGAGAAGTCTGTGGAAAATACTTATTATGAAAAAACTATGTATAGATTTCAAGCTTTTCTATATTAAAACAAATTTGTACTTTAATTCCATTTTTCCCCATAAACTTATTTTTTTAATTTGCCAGATGGCATATTGCCCTTGCCAAATACAGAAAAAGAGGGAGAATGCACTCCACAATGGAACATGGTCATGCTACAATCCTTTTTCCTCCATTTCTCCACCCTACTGGGATTTAGGGCATAGGTACCTGTAGGGTTTTTCCAGCTGCCAGTGTTGGGATTTGAACAGCATGGTTAACAACGCGGATCTGACTCCTTTAACTACCAGGTCAAGGGCTGGCCCTGCACGAACTTTTATTTACTTATTTTTTCAAGAGGGGATGACCATGCTGCAATCCATTCTCCTTCATTCTCCTCCTGGGATCTTGGTCATGCACGCACACATGCCTGGCATGATTTTTAAGCCACCAGGTCCAGGACTTGAACTGCAGTCAGCCATGTGGGAGTCCAGTGATGTAACCATTATGCCACCTGGTGGATCCCCTCCCCCAATTTTTAAAAAAATCTTTGGAGAGGTTTTTGCTATAGGGTGCAGGTGCTCACCAGAGAGACAAAAATCGAGAAATTACCTCCCAGGAGGGATGGCCATGCCGCAATCCCTTCTCCTCAATTCTCCTCTTGGGATCTTGGGGCATGCACGCACACGCGCCCATCCTGAGTTTAAGCCACCAGGTCCAGGACTCGAACGGCGGTCGACAACATGTGAGTGCAGCAACATAGCCATTACACTAACTGCTGGTCTCATCCTCCATGAACTTTTTTTTCTGAGAGGTTTTTGCTATAGGGCGCGTGTGCTTGCCAGACAGAGAGACAGAGAGACAGAAAGCGAGAAATCACCCCTCGGGGGGATGGCCACGCCGCAATCCCTTCTCCTCCATTCTCCTCTTGGGATCTTGGGCACGCATGCACACACGCCCGGCGTGAGTTTAAGCCACCCGGTCTGGGATGCGAACTGCGGTTGACTACGTGGGAGTCCAGCGACATAGCCATTACGCTAACTGCTGGTTCCCTACCCTCCATGAACTTTTGAAGTTTCCTCATATATTTCACTTGCCTCAGAGAAATTCCTTATATAACCAGATTTGTTTATGTTCATTCTCTCATTACCTCATAAGGGCAAATATTAAAACAAATATTCAGAGCTAGCAGATGGCATAATGGTTGTCGTTGAACTCCTACGTAGTCGACTGTAGTTTGAGTCCTGGACCCTGCGGCCTGACACTCACACTGGGCACATGTACATGCACGCCCAAAATCCTGAGAGAACAAAGGAGAGGGGACTGTGGCGTGGCCATCCCCCCCTGGGGTTTGTTTTCTTGCTTTCTAGACAGAAAAGTCTCTCTGGTGAGTACATGCACCCTACAGCAAAAATCTTCCTCAAAAAAGAAAAGAATAAATAAATACAGTTCAGGAAAAAGAGTACTAGATTCAGGATGTGAGCGCATCTCAGCCTGGCTGTAAATAGCATGCTTCCTTCCTCAGGTGAGTAGCTTCACCTTTCCAGGCCTCAGCTGCCCATTTTGTCATTATTGCCATGGTTCCCTTCAGCGCTAAATTACTAAAATTTCTAAGTATTCTATTACCTCCCTATTGTGGTATAATTTTTAATAGCAAAACTCCTATGGTGGTTCTTTGGATAGAGATTAGTAACTGTACTTATCAGATATATAAGGATTCCTTTAGCATAAAAGAAAAGATGATAGAAAGATAAGTTTACCTTAATAAATACCATCTATATTGTTGATACGAGAGCTTCAAATGTAGAGGGAGAAAAAAAAATCTCATATATGTTTCATATAAGCTAAGGTCTGATCTCAAGACTTTGCAAATTAAGAACAACTTCTTGGGACCAGGAAGTGGTGTAGTACTTAAGATGTTGGATTCCCACATGGTGATCGCAGTTCAAGTCCTAGATCAGGAGCCTGAAAATCACTCTGGGCATGTCTGAGTGCATGCTTGAAATCCCAGGAAGACACCCTCCCCCAGGAGAAGGGATTGTAGCATGGTCATCATCCCTCAGGGGGTGATTTCTACTTTTCCTCTCTGTTCTGCAAGCACATGTGCTCCATTGCAAAAACTTTCAATTGTTACAGTTTAGGTAATGGCCTAGGTAAAATTCCTAGCACTTCAACATACCTGACATTTATTGAGTACTTCATTGTCAGAGAAGCCAAAGATGAAGTAACATTTTGATATTTTTAGGAGTCACTAGTATCATTATTTAAACTCATTTATTCTTTGTTAAAGCCTTCCAGCTCCTTAGGATCCTTGGTGCCTGCACACACTACCAGCTTATGTTCAGGCTGACCTGGGGATTTGAACCTGCCAATAGCCATGTGGCTCCCAGCACTGCATCCCAGTACATTACGGGCTACCTAGCGGGGCCTATTACTTGTTAAAATTTGACTGGGGCCCAGCAGTAGTGTCACAAGTGGTCGGGCTCTGCTGCAGGAGGCTCAGGTCACATTAGAGGCCTGGGTTCAGTTATCAGACCAATTTAAACTGGCCAGGCATGGTGGTGCACACCTGTAATCCTAACAAACTAGGAGGCGAGGGTGGGGTATGGTGGCATAGCGATCCTCCTGTCAAAAATACCTATGCCTGCCTTTTTCTTCCCTTTTCTCCTCTCTCTATTTCACACAAAGCGACATTTTCGGGGCCAACCAACAAGAAACAAATACGTTGATACATACCGATTGCTAGGCCATCGCTGAAATTGTGCAGGCCATCACCCATTATCACCATCCAGGCCAACGTGGCAATGCCAGCATCTTTCAACTCTTCCCGAGAGTAGCGCTGACTGTGACTATGGGGGTGGTGGTTTTGGTGGTGATGGTGATGGAGAATATGATGGTAGTCGTGATGGTGGTGAATGAGATCATCTGACTGGCCAAGTGTATCATGGAAATGCGAATGGCATTTATTTTTGCACCCTCTGGGTACATATTCATTGTAGACTTCTTGTGGGTGAGCATGAGCTATCATGACCTCTTCTTCTTCTAAGATTGCTGGCTGCTGAGAATCAAAGTGGGACGGCTCTTGTGAGTCTGCTCTCAAATAGCCTTCAGGTCCTAGAATAAACATAAAGGACATCGGGACAAACTCAGAGGCTTTCTTAATTCATGTGGACACATTCTAAACATTCCCACTGACCAAATGCCAGAGTGTGTGCGTGCTCACTAGAGAAAAAGAGAGAACCCCTCAATGGGGCATGTTCCATGCTGCCATCCCTCACTTCTCTGTCCAATCAGGACCCTGGGCATGCATGCACATGCACCCAGCGTGTTTCTAAAGCTGCCAGGGCAGGAATTGAAACCACAGTTGGTCGTGAGGGATCCAACTCCCTATGTACTGCACTTAACCACTGCTCTAAGGGACCAACTCAACAAAACCCTTAAAGCACGTTAACTCTCACACCTGTAGAACTGAACAACAGAGCATCATTGATGAAAAAACATTAATGGCTTTAATAAATTTCAGTGATTAAATGGTCTCACATATAAGAATGGATTTTTAAAAAAAATTTGCCAGGATTCACATGTGCTAGCAGGAGGGGGAAAGGAATGAGAAAGAACACGCCCATGGGAAATGGTCATGCTACAATGCCTTCTCCATTTACGCTTACTGGTGGGATTTTGGGCATGCAAGAAGATGTAATGAGTATTGATTTTTTTAAGACCCCAACATTTTTTTTTTAAAAAGAGGATTTTGCCTTAGGAGGCGTGTGCTCGCTGGAGAGCGAGGGACACAGAGATAGTGAAAGGAAACATAAGAAATCTCCCAGAGGGGGATAGCCATGCTGCAATCCTTTCTCCTCCATTTTCCTCCTGGGATTTTGGGCATGCATCCACATGTGCCTGGCATGGGTTTCAAGCCACCAGGTCTGGGACTTGAACTGTGGTCGACCATGTGGAAGTTCAGCAATATAACTACTATGCCATCTGCTGGTCCCACCCCTACATTTTTAAAGCAGGGAAATCCTTTAACAGGAAATATCACAGTTGAGACCTGAAAGATAGGAGGAGAAATGTACATGATGATTTGGGAGATTAGGCCAAGTTGAAGGAACAGTGAGAGCAAGGCCCTGAGACAAACCCTGTGTGCTCCAAGGACAGCAAGCCAGGGACTGAGGCTGTGCCACGGTCAGCAACAGGGGGCAGTGGAGAACACAGCAGGACCTGGAAGTTCAAGGTACAGAGTTTGGTTTACAATTTGCATCCTAGGGCTCAGCAGATGGCGTGGAGGTTGAGGTGGCTGGATTCTACATGGCTGATTGTGTGGTTTCAGTCCCAGACCTGGAGGCTTGAAAATCATACCCAGCACATTATGTGTGCATGCCCAAAGTTCTGAGAATGGAGAAGAAGCAAGTGCAGATGACGTAATGGTTACATCACTGGACTCCCGCATAGTTGACTGCAGTTGGAGTCCTGGATCTGGTGGCTTGAAACTCATGTAGGGTGCGTGTGTGTGCATACCCAAAATCCTGGGAGATGGGAAGAGACTGATGCATGGCCATTCCCTCAGGGGGTGATTTCTAGCTTTCTAACTCTGTCTTTCTGGTAAGAGCACACGCCCTATAGCAAAAACCTCTCTAAGAAAAAAACTAGGAACCAGCTGTTGGTGTAATGGCTATGTCGCTGGACTCCCATGTAGTCAACTGCGGTTCAAATCCCGGACCCAGTGGCTTAAACCCATGCCGGGCATGTGTGTACCCAAGATCCTGAGAAGAGAATGCAGGAGAAGGGATTGTGGCGTGGCCATATAAAATAAATAAAATAAAGATAATTATGAAATAAAAAAATAAGGTCTAAGTCCCAGCTGGTGGCATAACTGGTAGTAAACTGAACTGCAGTGCTGATGCCATAAGGTGGACCATGGTTCAGATCTCTGTGTAGGACTGAAAACAAATTGTGCATGAGTTGCATGCCAAAGATCCTGACAAGCTGGAGGGCTGTGAGAAGATTGTGGTGTGAGGAGGCTCTGTCAAAGTTATTCCTCTCGCTACCATGTGCACATGTGCTGTTATGAATAAAAATGAATAAACTTAAAATAAAGTCTACAGATTAGAGAATGGCATTGTACCAACATAAATTTCCTCATTTTGATCATTAAACTGTAATTATATTAAGAGAATGTCTTTTTTCTTAGGAAATAAATCCTTAAGTATTTAGGAATAAATAAGAATCATGGGGACCAGCAGCTGGTATAATGGCTATCACTGGACTCCCACGTAGTCGACCGCGGTTCATGTCCAGGACCCCGTGGCTTAAACTCACGCCGGACGTGTGTGCCTACATGTCCAAGATCCTGAGGGGAGAATGAATTGTGGTGTGGCCACTGCCCCAGGAGGTGATTTCTCACTTTCTTTCTCTCTGTTTCTGTCTTTCTGGCAAGCACAAGTGCCCTATAGCAAAAACCTCTCCAGGGACCAGCAGGTAGTGTGGTGGTTAAGGCACTGGACACACCCATTTGGCTGACCATGGTTCGAGTCCTGGACCTGGTAGCTTGCTTTCTCACTTTCTCTTTCTTTCTCTGGTCACATTAAATAAATGAGTGAATAAATAAATAATTCTTAAAGAAAAAAAAATGCTAAAAAAAAAATCATGTCTATAATTTAACTCTCAAATGGTTCAGGAAAGGAAAATAAGCATATGTATGTAGACAGAATGATAAATAAGTATGTGGTAAAATAACTAGAAAATATGAGTGAAAAGGAAGTCTTTGTTCTATTCCTGAAACTCTTGTGTAAGTTTAAATTTACCTCAACTAAAAAAATTACAGAAAAAATTTTGTTTCTGTGTATTTATACATAAGTAAATACACAGAAGCAACATACTCACCGACAATTAAAAAAAATGAAAATAATAATAAAAAGTGTACACGGTCCCATCTCTTCCAGACAGTCCAAGGAGCCTGCAAAGCACAGAGCAATGAACTCTCTCCAGCCCTGACAGGGACTCAAAGACTTACGATTGGAGATCAGCAGGTGGCATGGTAGTTAAGGTGCTGGACACACCCACATGGGTAACCACGGTTCGAGTCCCAGACCTAGTGGCTTCCTTTGTCCCTTTCCTCTCTCTCTCTCTGGTCAAATTAAAAAAAATAAATGAATGAATAAATAAAATTAAAAAATAAAAAAGACTTACGATCATCTGTATCTACTTTCTCCTCATTGGTTGAAAGTTGAGATTCATACTTGGACAACTGCTTCTTAATCTCCACATCATCATCATTTTCAGGTTTTTTTTGATTCTTAAAAAAAACAAGGGAAAACAATACATTAAAACAGTTGATTTGCTTATGTGTACAACTTTAAAGGAATGGGTAACAGGTTATATAGAAAAAGACAACAGAATAACGGTCTCTATCGGAATAAAAGGCATCTAAGGGCAGGACCTGTACTTACTTGCGTGGCACCTAGTAGCGTCTTAGGGTATGTGTCACCGTCTCTAAGACAAGGCAACAAAAATTAATTCCTCAGTAAGAGGAGGTGTAGGAAAAAAAAAAAAAATCACACAACCTTCCTGAAAGTTTCCTAGATCACCGACTCTTAGAGTGGCCTTACATAGGCAGCACAGCATCTCCTGTGGGCTTGTTAGAAATGTTTATACTTGGGGCTGGCAGGTGGCACAGTAGTTAAGACGCTGGACTACCATGTGGTCTACTATGGCTTGAGTCCCGGATCTGGAGGCTTGAAATTCAAGCCGGGTGCATGTGCATATGTGCCCAAAACTCTGAGAGAAGAAAGAAGAGACTGTAGTATGGCTGTGCCCCCACCCTGGGGGTGATTTCTTCCTTTCTGTCTCTCTGGAGAGTGCACACACCCTAATCACAAAAATATCTACAAAGAAAAAAAGAAAATGTACGCATTCAGGCAACCTCCCAAATCAAATCACTCTGACTACAGAGTATCAATTTTAACTAGATATCAGGGTAATTAATCCACACATTAAAATTGAGAAGCTTGGGGCCGGCAGGTGGCGTGGTGGTTAAAGGTGCTAGATTTCCACATGGCTGATCGGAATTCGAGTCTTGGCAGCTTGCTTTCTTATTTTCCCTTTCTCTCTTTTTCGTTGAAAAAAAAAGAAAAGGAAAAAGAAAAAGGAATTAAATAAATAATTCTTTAAAAAAAACTGAGTAGCTCTACCTTAGGTTATCAATTTAGAACTAGCTAGAGGCCTTTCCTTCAGGCAATTAATAACCCACTAAAGTGCTTTGTTTCCATCATCTGGACACTGAAAACACATAGTTCTTATACTTTTTTGTTAAGCTAACACTACACTTAGTTAAATAATTACTAAAACTCTTTCCTTAATAAAATACTATTAAGGGACCAGCAGTTAGTGTAATGGCTACGTCGTTGGACTCCCATGTAGTCGACTGTGGTTTGGGTCCCAGACCTGGTGGCTTAAACTCTCACCAGTTGAATGTGCGCGCGTGCCCAAGAACCCGAGAAAATGGAGAAGGGATTGCGACGTGGCCATCTCCTCTGGGGGATGATTTCTTGCTTTCTGTCTGTCTCTCTTTCTGGTGAGTGTACGTGCCCTATAGCAAAAAAGCAAACAAACAAAAACTCTCCAAAAAATATAAATAAAATACTATTAAGATGTTTTCTTTTTTTAGACAAGTCTCCATTAGTCAGCCTTGAATTTATCATAAAACTAAGGTTCTTACTATAGGGTGCAGAGAGAGAGGAAAAATGAGAAATCATCCCCCAGGGGAGATGGTCACACTGAAATTCCTTCTCCATTTTCTTCCCGGGGTTTTGGGCATGCGTGCACATGTGCCTGGCATGATTTTCAAGCCTCCAGGTCTGGGACTCCAGCTCTGTCCATGCGGAAGTCTAGGGCCTTAACTACCATGTTGTCTGCTGGCTCCTATCAGTAGGCTTTTTTTTGTTGTTGTTGTTAAAGAATTACTTTATTTAACTTTATTTATTTTATTTTGATGAGAGAGTGAGTGTGAGAGAGAGAAAACAAGCTGCCCGGACTGGGACTCAAACTGCAGTCGGCCATGTGGGAGTCTAGTGCCCTTAACCACCAAGCTACCTGCCAGCCCCCCATCAGTAGGCTTTTTAATCACCCAAATACCATGCTTGAGAGAGTGTCTCTATCTGAGCCCAAGCAACACCTACATTGTGTATGTATTACAGTTTAAATAATGATGTCAATATATTACATACTTATGTGGAAAATAACAAATAGGTATATCAGCATTACCAATGACTTAAACAATGAAGAGATTTCAATCTAGCTCTAATAGTATTTAAAATATCTACACGTTCTAAGGTTATGAAAGTTTTTCTTGGGGCTGACTCCATGGCTTCTTTGTTAAGGCAGCTAGACCCCATACGGCTGACTGTACAGTTTGAGTCCTGAACCTAGTGGTATGAGAAACATGTTGGGTGTGTGTGAGTACATGCCCAAAGTCCCCAAAGGAGAGAGAAATGGAGAAAGGACTATGGCATGACCATCCCTCATGGGGGGTTGTGCTTTTTCTTCTTTTTCCCTTTTCCTGGCAAGTACATATGCCCCCTAGGGAAAAACAAATGCTACAGGGTGCATGTGTTCACTGGACAGAGAAAGCAAGAGAGACAGAAAGCACTCCTGGAGGGGAATGACCATGCTGTGATGCCTTCTCCGTTCTCCTCTTGTGATTTTGGACACACATGGTCCCAGCATGTTTCTCAAGGCACTGGGTCCAGGACTTGAATTGTTCAGTTGGCCATGTGAGATCTAGCCACCTTATCTACCACACCACCTGGTCCCCCAATTTTTTATTTTTTAAGTTTATTTCCTTCATGAAAAGAGAGCACATACGTGTACACACACGCACACACAGAGGCATGCTGCCACTCCACCATCTCATGATCTACCCCCAGCCTCCCATTGTATGCCCAAAGAGTTCACTTTGATCTGAATCCAGGACCCCTGTGGCTCCAGTACAGTGCAGTGGCTCCTCACTGCCCACACCATTATGGCTCGGTCAGTTCTAAGAACATTTAAAGGCAAACACACAGAAAAATCTTTATATTTACCCCTAGCATAATGCCTCAACCAGAAAAAGTAAATATTTAACCAATTCTTTCATTAAGTATTAATGGCCCATTGTGTCCCATATGCTAAGGGCAGGCAGTACAGTGTGAAACAAGACACATAGAGCTTCTGTTCTCACATAGCTTATCTTCAACAGGGAAGGGCGAGGGCTCTTGTTCAGATAAAAGGCATATAATTCTTGATTGTACTTTTTGATACATTTTTACAAAGGGAAAATGCAGAGTGTTATTAGTGTATAATAAGACCTACATAAGTTTCAGGACAGGCTTCCTTCAGAAAAAGAAAAAAAAAGTGACATACTCAGACTCTGAAGATAAGCAAGAGGCTGCTGGGGAAGGATGGAGGAAGTATCCCGTCTGGTGTCCCTGAGCTACCCCATCCTCATCTCAAGCCACCTTCCCTCTGACCTACTAAACCTCAGCCACCTTGTAGTCATTTTAGTTCCAGCACGGCTTCTGCCCCTTCCCACTTCAGGGTTTACAAAAGTCCCATGGGGAGCCAGCAAGTGACATGGTGGTTAAGGTGCTGGACACTCCCACATGGCCAAATGCTGACAAGAAGGAGAAATAGAGAACAGATTGCAGTATGACCACACCCGACTGGGAGGTGCTTTCTCCCTCTCTCTCTGGTAAGCGCATGTACCCTCTGGCAGTTAAAAAAAAAAAAAAAAAGGAATATGCTAATATTCTTACTTTACTTCTTCTTTCTATATAAGTTTAAGTTCACTAATGAGAGTCCAAAATTTGTGATATGAGATTTCAGTGAATGTAAAATCTATAAGGGCAAATACTTAACAGTATAAACAAGGCCACTCTGCTGTTCACACATGCACTTGTTTCCCACAGTGAGCTCTATGCTCAGCAAGAATCAACTGTGTTAGTTTTTGAATCTCTGCATGCCAGTTATACTTGTTACTGTAATTGCACAATTTAATTACATATGCCGAAACTATGTGAACAATGGTGGAGAATAGTTACTTCTATGCTTGCATAAATTGAGAATATCTAAAAGATCTAAAAACAAGTTGCTAAAAAAACAAGAAGCATGGGGAACAGCAGATAGCATAATGTTTACGTTGCTATTCTCTCACATAGTCGACTGTGGTACAAATCCCGGACCCAGCAGCTTAAAATTCACGCTAGGTCTATGAGCATGCATGCTCAAAATCCTGAGAGGAGAATGGAGGAGAAGGGATCGTGGCACGGCCACCTCCCGCCCCCCCAGAGTGTTTTCTGTCTGTCTCTCCAGTGAGTGCACTCGTCCTATAGCAAAAATCTCTCTAAAAACAAACAACAACAAAAACCAAGAAGGCAGTGACATTTAGTAAAATGACCAATGTAAAAATAATTTTAAATTTCTCAAGCCTAAATTCTATACTCAGAATAGATTTACAAGGGTATAACCTCTTATTCAATTTTAAAATAAAACAAAATTGGAAATTGCAGATGAAGTATCAAGGCTGTAAAAAATAAAAAAAGGTTAGCTCAACTTAAAGAACATCTTGGTCAACATCAATGACCAGAACATGAGTGTACAGATGTTTTAAGTTAAATTAAAATGTCCAAAATGTGGATACATCATTTGAAAGACAGCCTTTAAAATGTCCTGCCTGACCGTATCGATGAGAAGAGGATATAATCACAGAAAACCCAAAGGTATTTTTACCAGAAATAAAGAGCCTACTGTTTGGCTTCATATAATTTTCTGGTCTAGTTTGTAAAAGGCAAGTCTGTGAAAGTCATATACCCTCTGAAACGAAATGGTACATTCGCCTACTGGGTGAATAATTTAAAATTACAACTGTTACTCATACCATCAATAAATAAGGACAGTGAATTCATAATGCTTTTGGTTTTCAAGGCCCAGGTTGTAGTTTGCTTGATCACTTCTATAAATATTTATCCTTTCTTCCCATGAACTTCATGGTAATAGCGAAGATAGAAAACGCCGGGATTGTCAAGATACAAAATTGCTCTATATCACTGCTGCTGGAATAAAAAAACCCTCAACAATACGGAAACCCTTCTCAAACAAAGTTATAAACCTAGACAAGCTATTTTTGCAAACAGCTTAAGAGTGCTACTATAAAGCAAATGCATGATGCAGAGTAAGTACTCAGTATACTTTTTCTTACCTTTTTCTTCTTATCTTTAAATTGCTTGATCAAGGTCAGTACATGTTCAACAAGAAACATGAAATACAAGCCTCCTAGAGCAGTCAGACCTTTCCATGTAGAATCAAAATAGGTGCTTTCTTCTATGTTTTGAGAAGACAGATGACTAAAAAGTGGTCCTCTTTTCATTTCCATTGCTGGTTCTTCATGGCTATGACTATGGTGATGACTTGCATGAGACTAAAGGCAAAATTACATAACATTTATAAATTGATTAGTTTTGTACATGTCAGAAAAGTTGGAGATACAGTAAGAACAAATTTGGAATCACTCAGAACTAGTCAACCAATGGGATACTTTAGAATGGAGGTGAAGTTTAAAAATAAAATGATCAAGCCAGTAGGTGGTGTGGTGGTTAGGTGCTTGATCCTATAAGGCTGACTGCCTGTTTTGAGTCCTGGATCCAGTGCCTTAAAAAATATGCCAGGTATGTGTGTGCATGTCCAAAACCACAAGAGGATAATGGAGAAGGGACTGCAGTGTGCTCATCCCCTCTAGGGGTGACTTCTCACTTTCCCTGTCTCTCTCCTCTCTATGGCAAAAATCTGATAATAATAATAAAAAAAATCACTTTACCAAACTTGTTTTGAGAATTCACTTGTGGGGCCAGCTAGTGGTGTGGTGATTAAAGAGCTAGACTCCCACATGGTTGACCCTGGTTCAAGTCCTGGATCTGGTGGCTTGCTTTCTCATTTTTTCTCTCTCTGGTGAGTACACATGTCCCAAAGAAAATTAAAAAAGAAAAAAGAAAAAGGCGGGACCAGCAGTTAGTGTAATGGCTAAGTCGCTGGACTCCCATGTAGTCGACTGCGGTTCGCATCCTGGACCTGGTGGCTTAAAACTCATGCCGGGCACATGTACACGCGTGCCCAAGATCCCGAGAGGAGAATGGAGGAGAAGGGACTGAGGCATGGCCATCCTCCCTGGGGGATGATTTCTCGCTTTCTGTCTCTCTCTGTCTGTCTGGCGAATGCACGCGCCCTATGGCAAAGAATAAATAATTAAATAAAAAATTAAAAAATAGAAAAAAATAAAAGAAAAATGATAATAAATAAGATAGAATAAAATAATTCTTGATTTTTCGCTTTTTATCTCTGTCTCTCTGGCGAGTGCATGCGCCCTATAACAAAAACCTCTCTAAAAATAAATAAGTAAACAATCAATCACTTGTATGGGACCAGCACGAAGCATGGTGGTTAGGGTGCTGGACTCCATGGCTGACCATGGATTAAGTCCTAGACCTGGTGCCTTGCTTTCTCATTTCACTCTCTAGTCTCTCCTGGTGAGTGCATGTGACCTACAACAAATTAAAATAAATAAATTAATTAATTAAAAAAAAAAAAAAGACAAGAAAAAGCATTCAGTTGTGTGGTGCCATAGGTGGCATAGTGGTTAAGGCACTAGACTCCTATTGGCTGACCACAGTTCAAGTCCCAGAACTGGTGGCTTGAAAACCGTGCTATGCACACGTACATGTGTACCCCAAATCCCAGGAGAATGGAGAAGGGACTGTGGCATGGCTTTCCCTCCTGGGGGGTGATTTCTTACTTCTTCTCAGTGTCCCTCTCTGATGAGCATATGAGCCCTGTGGCAAAAACCAAACAAACAAACAAACAAAACACTTGTGGACCAGCCCAATAGTCTAGTGTTATGAGGGCTGGATTCCATGTGGTCAACCACGGTTCAAATCCTAGCCCTTAAAAAAGACACAAGACATATGTACGCATGTCCCAAATCCTTGAAGATGGAGAAGTTAAGAGACCACAGCATGAGCAGGCCCCACTGTCAGGAGCTCTTTCTCTGGTGAGTGCACACACCGTTAGCAATAGAAAAAGAAAGAAAAAATTCACTCATGTTAAAGAGTAAATCTTGAAGTACACACAAATTCAATTCTGGACTAGGGTCATGTGCTTTATTTCTGTGACAGCTATGTAACCAGTAAGCAGATAATTCACATGGTAGCAGTTTGTCATAGTATTGACATGTAGGCAGAATGTGTCTCCTTTTACTAAGGGGGTTCCAAAAAGTTAAATTGGTCTGTATTTAATAAATTCCCTTGAAAGGAAAAGCAAAATAACATAAATATACATTAAAATCTAACACAAATATGCAAGTTTCAGTTACCAAAAAAAAATTTTTTAATTGTTATAGGATGTGTGGACTTATCCGAGAAAGAGACAGACAGAGAACAAGAGGGAAAGTAAGAAATCACCTCCTGGGAGGCTGGCCACACTGCAATCCTTCTCTTCCATTCTCTTTTCAGGATTTTGGGCATGCATACACATCCAGTGTGTTTTTCAAGCTGCCAGGTCTAGGACTTGAACCATGGAGCGGGCCTAGTGGGATCCAGTGCCTTAACTGTCGTGCCACTTACTGACCCACCACATTTATTTTATTTTATTTATTTAAAAAACACGCCTATTTAATCCCATTTGTTATTATTATTTTTTTAATTTAACCAAAGAGAGAGAGAGAGAGAGAGAGAGAGAGAAAGAGAAAGGGAAAGGAAAAGGAAAAGGGAAAGGGAAAGCAAGAAAGCAAGCCGCCAGTTCTGGGACTTGAACTGTGGTTGGCCATGTGGGAATCCAGCGCATTTAACCACTATTCCACCTGCTGGCCCCATCACATTTATTTTTTCATAAACTTTAAATAAAATTTCCAACCAAATTCTAATAGAAATCAAAAATACATACAATTTCAAGGCTGAATAATGAAACACACAAATAGGACAAGTTACTATACTTACATGTGGAAGAAGGTGTAAAAAAGCATCACCACTCAAAGTCCCAACAGCCAATGCCACAAGGAAACTTAGGAGAAATTTGAAAAACACCCGATTCATGAGAGGCACTAAGATAACCCCCAGCAAAGACAGGAAACTGATGATGGAAATGGCTATAAAGCCACCAACCCAGGCTGTCAAACAAAACAAAACAGAGGAAAGGAAAAAATCACACAACTGATAAACTTTAGAAGATTTTTAGAAAGTAGAATAAAGCAATGCATAAAAGCAGAGTAGTTAAAGAAACACAAGTTCAATGTGAATAGGACGATGGCAATAGCACAATAACTAAAACATCTATTGCTAGTTGAAATTAACAAGATGGCAGTCACTTAACCCTCCAGGTAATAAAGAGTGCAAGCCTAGTTGAAAATTTTTCAGTTGGGAGTAAAGGAATAAATAAATAAGGTTACCAAGTATGACCTCATGTGGGAACCAAGTTTTAGATTCACATAACAGCTAAATAATGAAAGATAAGATAAAAAAAGTTTAAAAAAAAATAAGGAAGAAAATAAAGGGAAAAAGAAGGAAATCAGGGAACTCAGCAACTTCCTTAGCAATGACCTTTTTCTCCTTATGGCTTTTAGCAACATGACCCTACACTCTATAGCAGAACTTTCACTCACATATTTTTGCACAGAAAAATGTCATGACTTTCATGATGACCTAATATATCTAGAATCAGGCTGAAAAATGAATATTTAAAATTATACCGAGAAAATTAATGGGTCGATGTGAATATACAAGAAGTACAAAATAAATATATCGACTGGAAATTATTTTTACATGAAAAGGGCAATTGTACCTATTTGTAAAGAATAGGTCTTTGGAGGGATTTCAGCTTTCTTTTCACTCGTTGTATGAATCAGGCAAGATCTGGCATCGATTTGGTTGATGATAGCTGGGCAGAGATAGCTGAACTCTTTTGCATTCAGCAGAACCTGGACACCCATGCCATGAGATGTGAGTAGCTTTGATGCGTTGAAACACTGAAGGAAACAAAGCAGTGAAACTCACCAAAAGGCATTTCCATCAGAGAATGGAAAACATAGTTTGATGACACAACACCCTTTTCCTTTCTCAAACTACTTAATTTTTGAAAGTTATCGCAAATTAAAATTAACTTTTGTTTTGAGGACTTGAGAATTTGCCTTGAGCTACTTAGAGATACCATGTCCCACAGTACAATCCCATCTCTTCTGCCTTTCTTGGGAGAAGTGCATAGTACCAGTCACTTAGGGAGAATACTTCAAGCGCAATGAGCTTGGGGATAAATGGAGATTCACAAGCCTGTTAACTCATTGTATAAACCTATTAAGGAAATGAGCTTTAATTTTGAAACAGGATTCATTAGAGATTGAGAAATACGTTGTTTTAGTACTAACGCTATCTTGCTTGTCCCAAACATGCCCCAGACGTGTTGCTCTTCCGGCAATGACCCTACTTGTAAAAACTTAGCTCAGTTCTGTCTACATACTTGGCAAAATAATGTTCTATGATGGGAGAATATTAAATTATGTAGATTACTCTTGTGGAGGGAAAGGCAGGTTAATAAAACAAACCTGTACAAGCAGGTAGATGTTTTCAACTTAATTGGATGACAAACTTAGTTTGAAGAGTAACTCCACTAGGCAATTTAACCACCCTCCTCCCCCGCCCCCTGCATGGCTGTAGTACCAGTTTCTCACCTTCTGTTAAGATTTTTTTTAATGATAGGGAAGGGGGTTGAGAGAGCGAGAAGCATTCTTGGTAAAGTTTCTCACAACACAATCCCCTCTACCCAGCCTTTCAGCCCCTTAGGATCCTGGGTGCCTACCACAGGATCTGAACCCATGGCTGGCATGTGGCTTCCAGCCTTTCAGGGGCACTGCATTACTGCTGCACCACAGTGGCTGGTCCTGTAAATATATTTAAACTCCCATAATTCTTGGCCAATACTACTCAGAACAAACTACATCACCAGCGTTGCTATGGCTATGATGAGTAGTAGGACTATTCCAGAATAAGAACCAGTCATATGCTGGTTAAATTGAAGAACTTAAATTTTTACTTAGTAAAATATAACTAGGTTAATTCCTTATTCTTGATATCCCTCGACCAAAGTGCATTACGTGTGGTCTGGAAGTCTACTTCAGAAAAACTGTGAACACAGAACCTCACTTGTCTCTTTACTCACCCAGCATAACGTTGGTAGCTGCTCCAATTTCAAGTCACACTGGCAAGTCACCGTGATCCTTTGCCAATGAGGCTGTTACTGGTCTGTTAATCTTCAGCTTGTCTTCAACCACATCCTTCACTAAAACATGGATTCTAATTCTTGCTTCTTCTATCCCCATTTTCTGCATTTTATATTTATTGCCAGAGGGTGCAAGCACTCACCAGAAGAGAGGGAAGCATTCCGAATGCAATGTGGTCACACTGCAATCCCTTCTTCTCCATTCCCGCCCCCTCAGGATTTGGGGCACACATGCACACATGTACCCAACACGTTACTGAAGCCTGCAGGGCCCGCATTAGAACTGCTGCCAGCCATGTGGGATCTGCCAGCCTTACCGACTAGTCTCTGTTTTTTAATGAATAATATTCACCTTCAAAGACTTTCTTCAGAGCCAGCCTCTTGGTGCAGTGATCTAGGGAGCCAAATCTCACATGGCCAATTGCAGTTGGACCTGGCAGCTTAAAAATCGTGACAGAAACATGTATGGCCAAAATCCAGAATGGAGGAAGGACTGAGGCATGACCACGTTCCTTTGGGAGCGGGGTACTTGGTCTCTAGAGAGTGCGTGTGCCCTCTGGCAATTAAAAAAACACAAAACAAGCTTTCTTCAAAAATAACCTTCATAGTTTTACATTCTACGTTAGACAAAAAATTATATAGTAGATAGCATTATTCTCACCAACAAACTATTTCTCTATCAGAAATGCCTGTAATAATAGGAACACTCCGAGTCCAGTGCTTTGCTGAGAAGGAGAAGTATCCCCTTTTCAATAACTTCATCTTTTTACTTTAAGCTCCTTACAGCCAGAGATGGCAACGTCAGAACAGACAAGCAGTACATCGGAATAACGGACAGTACCTGTCTTACCTCATGAGTATTTTCGTTTGTGTTTCTGGAATACATAAAGCCTTTTCTGGGCTCACTCGCAGATTCATTTGTTTTCCTACTAGTCATTCGGCTCTTTTCTGTGATGCTGGGGGGAGTGGAACTGCTTACATCTTTGGGAAGGAGTTTTCCAGGTTTCGGAGTCTCTATTGTCTCTACAAAGTGAGTTCCTTCAGAGACAGCATTATACATAGTTGAGGTCACTTCACTAACACTCTCCTTGACACTTCTTCTACCATCAGCATTTTCTGGTCGGTGAGATACTTTGCCCTGGCTGTTTCTAGAATCTTTGCCTGAACTGTCAGAGTCATGGTCTGGGCAAAGAACTTTCCGATTATTTTTATTGGATGCACCATGATTACGGTGAGAGTGACGATCGTGGTCAGAGTGATGCTCATGGTCGGAGTGGTGCTCATGGTCAGAGTGGTGCTCATGGTCAGAATGGTGCTCGTGGTCATGGTGTATGTGGATTCTTTTCATCTTATCTATGCCTATATTCTGAAGCAATTTCCTGAATCCTTCAACTGACAAGGAATTATTTTCCCCATAGCGGTAGAAAAGCTGTTGTAGATGATGTTGCTGTGTGGTAACTGCCAAATCAACATTAATGCCAGATTCCCAATTTGCATTAATTTTCTCTGTGGTGTGAGGGAAAGCGGCTGTTGATTCTAGTTCATGAAGGGGATTTGTGATCGAAAGCGCGAAGGTTAGGATCAAGATTACAGGTAAGTTCCTTGCCATTGCACCGTCCTAGGGAGGGAAAAAAAAAAAACCAAAACAGAAAATTAAAATTCTTGACTTCATTAGTAAAATACTCTGAATTAAGAAACCTCATCCTGAAAATTGATGTTGCAAATAATCAAGGTTTAGAGGGCATCATCTGGTCTGATAAGTGTGGTACTCCTTGCTGTGAAGACAGAGAATCAAATTCCCTGTCATTGCTAACACACAAACAACTGGAGAGCGAAGGGAGTGAACTGGCGTTGTATAAGCAATAGTAATTCAGGGAAAGGAGAGACCCGTGTGGCCACAGCCATACTGGAAGCTTCCACTATAATTGTGTTGAGGGCAATGATTCAAAACAAAACCTAACTACCTCCACCATTACTGACATTTCATAAAAGAATCTTTCAACACCCAAAAAGTAAAGATAAACTCAGAATTCACATTTGAAATTTTCTCTTAAATTAATACTCTCCTTATATACAAATCCAATTAGTCCCTTTCCCTCCGTCCCTTAATTTTGCCAGCTTGTGTATCCTTTGAGAGCTCCTTTTGAGCAATATTCAAATACATGTGTCGTTTACACACACAAATGGACTTTTACCCCCAACGACACTGAATCTGACATGTTTTCATGTAAGTACACATAACCCACTTTTCTTTCAATGACTACATAACAACAATGAAATAAAACTTCATAAAAAGGTTCATATATTGCTACAAAAAAGTGAAAACTTTTTACCACACATTATATTACTCATCCACACAACAGTTTGGAACCAAAATCCTATGCTCCAAAGAAGAGTTAGGACTTGAGCTGGGGCCTATAATGCAGAACTTAGTTATGCAGAGAAAGGTATGGTCAGATAGGCAGAGGGGTAATTTAGGACACAGTTGATGTCCAATATCAAAGATGGTGGTCAAATCCATGTCTCTAGCAAAGATGCAGAGATGGGATCTGGGACTAACCAAGGGCATAGGGCCACCTATCTCTTCGACTTTCAGTTGTTCTTCCTTGGACCAGGCTCTGCCGGTCATCACATATAAAAAGCCAGGGACATTTATTCAGCAGAGAACGAATAGTATGTAAAGCTGTTCGTTAAACTGATGCATGTGTGGCCAAGCGCTGGCTTATCATTCCAGGACTGCTGGAAAATGGAGATATATGGCTAGCAGGTTAAACTCCTAAAAGAAAAATATGTGGGGCATGAAGTTCTGGGAATTCATTTAACTGGCAAAAGAGATCCATTAAGAAATACTTCCTAGGAAAGAGGCCAGGAGCGGGTGGGTGGGGACCAGCACTGTCCAAGCAGCTCAGTGCCTTTCTCCCAGGAGGATGCGGAGGGCGGTCCGCGCATCTCCTTCCCTGCAAGTCGGCGTGTGTGGCGGAAAAAAGCATGCCGAAGGCAATGGCCTTAGAGAAAAGGGTGAGAGGAGAAAACAGAAAAGAGGGCACAAAAGCCTTGATTCTAAGGGCTTTTTATTTTTAAGCACGTCTGTTCCTTCTTCGTATATGGGATTAAAAGTACAGACCACATGCTCAGAACGTACTCCATTGTACCCCGAAACGCATCTGGGCACCCCCAACCGGCAAGTTCGGCTTTCCAGGGCATCTGGGCGCCCGAGGCGGGCTCCCGGTGGCATGCTCTGCAGCCCCCTTGCTGGCTGGCACGACTCCGTCTCCGCTGACCTCCTGCCTGCCTGCCCGTCCGCCCGCCCTGGGAGCTCCCCTCCGTGCGGCCCCTCCCAGACCTGCCCGACTCACCTCAACGCGGCCTCGCAGTCCCCCAGGCCGGCCACGCGCGCTGGTTCGGTTCCCCGCGGGCTGTCCGGAGGGCTCGGAATGGGCCTGAGATGGTCTCTCCAAGAAACCTCTACCGGGCGCGGACGAGCGGCGGTCTCATTGGCGCGGACACCCCTCGCTCCGGAGGTACCGCCGCACAGCTACCGCGAAGCCGCGCCCCGCGCGCTCCGGTCTCCCGCGAGCAAGACAATCAGTAATTACCGCCGCGCGCAGCGCGCTGCCGGGAACCGCCGCCTCCAGCCCAGGCCGCGGGCATGCGCAATGCGGCTCTGGAGCCGGTCTCCGCCACGGATCCGCTTTTCCGCGTGTTCGCGGACGCCACGCGGCTCTTAGCAGCAGGAGGGGCAGAGGCGCCGAGTTCGGGAGTCACATCGACTGTGAGCAGCTGGAGCTCCCTTCCTCGACCCTTTCCGAGTCCCCACGCTTCTCTGACGCCCGAGGCTCGCCCAGGCACCCCCCTGCCCCGCCACCCCAGCTCACTGCTGGGAGCGGCGCCGTGTGGGGGTGTGGGATGTTCCAGACACCGTCCTGACACCTCTTTATGGAGGATACCGTCTACTCTGCTCGGGTTTCACGCCTGAGAAGGAGCTGCGGTTCGTGCACCCGGCCTCAGCCTGGGAACAGAGCTAGCGGCGGCTGCACCGCGCCGAGGCTTGACCGCGTGTTGGAGAACCGCTTAGCCCAGGCGGGGGGCGGGGCCAGCGCCGCCTCCGTCCCGTCCCCCGGCCGCCTCGGAAACGCGGACTGGAAGACGCCAGCCGGATCCGCTAACACCGGAGTTCCGCCCCGAGGGCGGAAGTGCGCGCCGCAGACTGGGCAGCTGACGGGCCCGCGACATGGTGGCACCGGTGCTCGAGACTTCTCACGTGTTTTGTTGCCCAAACCGGGTGCGGGGTGCCTTGAGCTGGAGCTCGGGGCCTGGAGGACTGCTGGCCTTCGGCACGTCCTGCTCCGTAGTGCTCTATGACCCTCAGGTAGGAGGGGTGGCTGGACGCCCGAACGTCTTTGCCTCGGGCCGAACCTGCCAGGCGTGCTCGGGTCCCATAGCAGTGAACTCCCCAGAACTGGGGCGGCTAGCGCGCGGTCAGGTTCGCTCCGGGGAAGGGGTCCCGGCGAGGGTCTCACGTGGACGTGGCAGACCCACGTTTTGCAGTCTCGCGCTGCGTCAGCCTGGGGTCATCGCGTTCTGCTAGCGGCCTGTTAGTCCCACGCAGAAACCCGAATGATGAGAAGCCTTCCTTGAGGACCGCAGTACTGTTAAAGAATCAGTTTGAGGGCCAGCAGGTGCGCTGTGGTGAAGGCGCTGGACACGCCCACTTGGTCAACCACGGTTTGAGCCCCGGACCTGGTGGCTTCCTCTTTCC